AAGTGGAAGTAGGCAACTTGTTGAGAACTACAGAGGCATAGCCAATTTTAGTGTCTTGCCTAAGCTGTTTGAGCGAATTGTGACTCAGCATTTGGCCTTTGCTATTAATTCGTATATTTCTCCACGCCAGCATGGCTTTCGGAGAGGCCGATCTACAGTCACCAATCTATTAGAGTTTACTTGTCATGTTTTCAAAGCTTTTTCTAGTGGCTATCGCACAAATGTAATATACGCTGATTTAAGTAACCATATGGTTAACCATAACTTACTGTCCTTTAAACTCCGAGCCTCTGGCTTCTTTTTCTATTTAGTGAAACGCATAAGTTCTTATCTGCACAATAGATCCATCAGGGTCCTGTTTAACTTCATCACCTCGGATGAATTCCCCGTGACGTCTGGCGTGCCTCAAGGCAGCCACTTAGGTTCCATTTTACTTAGCTTATACATTAATGATTTCCCATCGGTGATTAATTCCAGCCAGATCTCAATATATGCTGATGATGTGAAACTGTTTTCTTCCTTCTCTGTAGAATCGCAATCAAATCAGCTTCAAACTGACATGGATAATTCAGTTGCATGGTGCCCTTTGAATCTTATGAAACTAAATCTAAATAAATGTAAGAAGCTGTCTTCCCAAGAAGAAAGCCATTCATTACTCAGTATTTTATTGAATCGCATAAGTTGGAGGAGGTCGATACGTTCACATACCACAGAGTACGTTTTAACTTGCATATTGAACTCTCGTTACGCAAAGCTAGGTTCGCGCTTGGTTTTATAAAAGGGTGGTCCAAAGAGCTTGATGATCCTTACATTACGAAAGGGCTGTACGGGTGTTTGGTTAGACCTAAACTCGAGTATGCCCCTGTTGTGTGGTTTCCTTCATTTAGGTGCTATGTAGATGCAATTGAATCTGTTCCAAAGCAATTCTTGCTGTTTGCCCTTGGGAATTTGGCTTGGGATCCGATTGCCTCTCTTCCCCCCATGAAAATGGGTTGCTTCTGTTGTCCTTACCGTCTTTCGAGAAACTTAGATTTGTTCTAGGCGTTTCCTTCGTAATTAAAGTAATAAATGGTCCTATTGACTCGCCTTTGTTACTTGGTGAAATAATCTTTAATGTCCCTAACTGCTTCTCTGGGCACTTTATCTTGGTTAAGCTTAGTCAATGTAAATATAATTATGAGGTGTTTAACCCGCTCGGAGTTGTTTGCAAAAACGTGAATGACGTCTACCACTTATTCTCATTATCGGACTCTTTAAAGTCCATTAAAGCAACATTGCTTAATACGCGTAATTTACGTATGTCGTACCTAAACTAGCTTGCTAAGCTTATGCATGTTTGCGATCGCTTAGGGGTTCATTTGCAATTTGGTCCTGTACCGTGGCTCTAAGCTAGTTGTGTACATGATTTTTTCTCTTTTTTCCTCTTTTTTCCTTCTTATTTGTTTTATTATATTTATACTAAGTTTTAATATTAATTAATTAAGATTTACGTTAAGAGTCAATTGAACTCGACTGTCATTTTATTTTAGTTGAATTTCTTGTATAAGTAGAATAAATAAATAAATAAATAATCACCGAAGGGAGATCATTTATATGCGGGAGAAATAACCAAGTTTCTAAGAGGCTGCCTTGAGGGACTTGTGATGTCACGAAAAATTCGTCAGAGGTGGTGGAGTTAAACAGACGTCTGAATGATCTATTGTGAAGTTAAGAGATTATCCATTTCAATTAATATAAAGAAAAGCCAGAAAACTGGTGTTTGAAAATCGGTAATTTACATCACAGCTTAGGCGTGTCCAGGGCATATCTGGGTAAATGATAGTTACTGAGCTTTTTTAGGTGGAGGAACTGCCGCGTTGTCAGTCGAAACTAAAATGTTACAGCCCGACGTCGCTCTAGATTACAAAGGAGACAATTTGAAAATGATTTAAATTGAGATATGGGACTTGCAGCCCAGTAACTTTTTATAAAGCCAGGCGAGTAGACTCTGACTCTGCCTTGGTACGGTACGATGTGAATATAGACTCCATGTTAGAGATAGAAAGCCGTTTGAAGATAAAAAAGCAAACAAAAGTTTGGTCAAGTTTTTACAGTGGTTACTTAAAATAGAATAAGATATTCGCACTATTAAAACGCACCACCTGAGAGAGCCTAGACACATTTGGCTTTTTTTGTACATACACATTTATATGTATATCATAGCTTATACTCATTTAAAAAACAAGCAAATTCCTATGCTTTTACTTTGTAAACGTACGATAGAGTGTAAGATATTATTAAAATTTTTGTTATACGATAAAAATGAAAGAACAACTAGCCACCAAAAGTCCGTGAAATTTCACTAGTTTGAAAGATATTTTGATGAAATTTGGCACAATGGCATGCTTTTGTTTAGAAAATGTTTTGCATTGGACTATTTTTTCCAACATTTCCCAAATAACGCCTCATATAAAATATTTAATGTAGGCCTGTGACCCACTTTAGTGTTTTTACTTGTTATATATATAATTCTTTTCTTGATATAGTTATTTACAAATTTCTACCCAATATTAATATCATGAAAAAAACTTTGTTTAGTGGTGTTGCGCAATTCTATTTCATCGGTCATTGCCCTTCAGCAAGGATAACGGTAAATGCAGACTAACAAGACCCCACACCAGCGAGTTATAATTTCCAATAACTTCATTGTATTTTTTAATTAAAGCTACGAACATTTTTATTCCAATGGAGACAGGGATATTGTATGCTTATTGATAGCTTTAGGGACCGTTTTTCCAAGTTTTTTAGAAAAATTATCGATACTTATATTATCGTCCTTTATGCTTTCGCTTTGAATATTTTATTCTTCATTTTGGAGAAAAAAAAGGAAAACGAATAACAAAAACGAAAGAGATTCAACATTACAAATTTCAATATTAAAGTTCTGAAACCTAAACGGAATATTTTGCTTATTTAATAGCAAAAAATACGATCAATACAATTAATAATTTCGCGATGAACAGGAGTCCCAAACTAAACAGAATAATGCCAAGAAAGTAAAAAACAAATATCGTTATAGAAAAAAAAAATATTAAAAAAAAAAACAACTACGTAAGATCTTACAGCCCCGTTTTTATACGGTACATTGGTGACAATAAAAAGGATGGGAATGCAGATGCTGGGGTGCCACTGCAGCAACTGTAGTCGATGTAGTAATGGTTGGATTTTTCTCTTCACCGAGAAACAAAATTCATAATAAGTTAAGTTCTAAATGGCTAATAACTGCTCCTCCCGCTAGACTTCATTCTTCGATCTTACGCCAGTGAAGCTTGTCATGAGTTGTTAAGTATACTAGCAGATATCTTAGAAAGTGAGGATGGTTAAAATAGCTCAAACTTTCTACAAACTCTCTAAACAGATTTCACGTCTATTGCGACACAAGAAAAACAGGCATATAATAGCATCATCTGCTACTTAAGTGAGCCCTGCTTTTAAAGAGGCTGCTATCGTTAATATATAAAATTTTTCGTTTTCAGTCCTATATATTATGCAATAAAACTGAAATAAAATACTAGAGGTCATGTTTGTTTGAAAAAGCCGAGATTGTTAAGATTTTGTAGACGGACTGATTGGTTACATGTCATAGGTTAAATTTGAAACTGATCAGAACCTAACTCAAAAGCTCATGGTAATTTATGAATGAAATATCACACAGTTTTAGAGGCCTTCATCTTAAAAACTTTTAAAATGCGTTCGTCAACGACGACTTTAATATTGGTTGAATGAATAGATGAATGCTGAAACGGCAGATTTCAGTTATTTTAGAACATGGACTAGACTCTGTAGTTTAAATTCCGGTGGACTTTTGACTCTAATATTGTCACAGGGTAGTTAAATAGCGAAGAATCGTCCCAAGACAGCCCAAGACCAAGTACAAGAGTAATTCACCTTTCTTATTTGCTGACGCACTCTTACGTACGCTTATCCAAATAATAAATTACTTACGAATACTTTCCTTTTTGCATTTCTTATGCAAAGGAGAATTGTGGGCGCAGTACTTTTTAATTTGATGTGAAAAAAAGCACTTCAATATACTTTAAAGATTTTATTTTTATTCTTTTTTTAATATTTTTTTTCTTCTTTTCTTTTATAATAACCATCATTTAAACGTCGTAATACACAAATTCAGCTCTGTTTTGTTTTTCTTTTTATTATTTTAGTTATTTTTCAGTTAATAATGGATCAGTGAATTACTTCTCATTGCCTCTTTATAGTAATGAATATATATTCTGGATTTGTTCTTTTTATTTTACTTCCTTTTAATAATTAATCAATGATTTTCAATTAGCAAATGTAATGAATTTTATTTAATATATAAATATTGTATATTATCAATAATAATAATAATAATAATTAATAATTATTTCTTAATAATAGTAATATTCAGAAAGTTTTTTATTTTATTAATTATGTACTGTATATGTATCATTTTAGTAATGTTTAGGTGCAAAATTTTTTTTGATTATACCAATAATATGAAATTTACGATACTTTATCTTGGAAAACTTCGCAATCTGTTCACTTGTGAAAGTGTGTAAATTAGATATGTTTGCGTTTTTTTTTTTGAAGTCCGTTCGTCCAATAGTTGTCTCATTCCTGTGTTAACGAGTTTTCGATTTAAGTGGGTAAAGATTTAATTTTTATTTTCCTTTTTTTGCTTTAGATGAGATTTTTGTTTAGTTATTTATAAATTTATAGTTGGAGATGTATATGATTTCTTATGAATGTTCTTGTTTCCTTTTTTTTGGTGGAGCATACAATATTACATAAACGTTTTACATACATTGAAAGATATGAATGTAGCTGGAAATGCGTTGGAGTTTTGCTTTCTTAACAATTTATTGTTTGTTCAATCGTTTTAATAAGTTCTTGGTTTCTTTTTTATAATAATTTTCTGCTCGTATGTTTTTACCCATTTATCAAAGTTTTCCACTAATATTGCGATTTGAGTTTCACTTTAGTTTTTTGAGTTTTACTGAGCGAAACTGCGGGCGTATATATTTTATTTAAAAAAAAGAGAGAAAACGGCCATAGGTGTGCACAAGTGAAGTCAATCATAAAGTTTATCCGTTTACCGTATATTTCAACTTGCAATTTGGGTTTGGGTAAGTGTGTGAGTGCTACCGACACAGTCACTGTAGTCGAAAAAATTTTTCGAGTTTCCGATTTGCAAATTATTGGTAGGATTGTACGCTTGCTGAGAGACCAACCTCGATCTCCAACGCGCATTAGTGCTCAGTAAGTGAAATCCTCATTCACATATATTTTTTCATTTGTTTAAACTTCGACTTATACTTAAATAACAAAGTTTTTTTCTAAAAGATAGCGTTTCAATTTAAAATTAGTAATATACATCCTACAAATAAGGGAGAAAACGCTAAGCAAATAATTTCAAGATTTTTAAAATTACTACATAATATTTATACAAGTTTTTTGAATTAAGAATGTAATGATAGAAAGATATATCTTCAGTTTGTATTATTTACATTAACGAAAAAATAATATTCTATACCAAAGACAAGAAAACAAAAGAAAAATGTTCTATAAAAGTTAAACAACAATATAAGGAGTTTTATGTAGTGTTCCATATATTTTTTATTCGATGACATTTACACAAGCTTCCATTAATACCACATCGAAATTTGGAGAAATTTTTAATTATGAACAAATATCGAAATTAATCAACATAATCTTTAACACTAAAGGCACTTTTTGTATAACTTCTACAACTCTTTCCTTTTCCTCATTTACGGACGAAAGTTGTAGTTATCGTTAACTAACCATCCCTCGATTGACGTGCATTTACCTCCACCACCTCGATTTACCTCGAGCCATCATGCTTTTTTGGTAACGAGGATGATCAATCAATATAAGTGCTAGTCCAGCGAGGCTTACTATACCCTGTGCATTTACATAGTAGATATGGTCATAGAAAACATAATTTAAAACCTAGATATACAAATCAAATAATAAACGTAAAACTCTTTTCAGTGAAGACGTTTAATAATTTAAGATTCTTTTGCAATTGCGTTGGAAACGACTCGAGCAACAATTTATGAAGACGAAAGTGTCCTCGTAAGTTTTAAGGACAATTTAATGCTTGCAAAAACTATTTGATTTTTATTACTTCAAGGAAAATTATTTTATCCCTCTGTGACCAACGGTCAACAGAGGAGAAATGTAATATAAATACTTACGATTCTGTGACTTTTACGATAAGTACTTCAGCAGAAGTTGTTTCTAAGTAATATAAGATTTATAAACTAAATGAAAATCAGTTGATCTTTTCATCAAAGTAATTATATTTCTATTTTATGAATGGGGAATTAAGTTTTCTTATTTCTTAGCTGATCTTCCATAAATGTGGTAACGCTAAGATACAAATGCAAGCTCATCCAAGCTTCGGGAAAAGAACTTTTATACTCGAAGAAAACCCCAGGGAGATAACCTTCTGTTACACTTGTCATAAAAACTCATCGCGATAGAACCAACCTAAAGAAAGTTACGCTTTCCGCAGAAAAGTTTGCTCTTATTCCTTACGTTAAAGTAAATATAATCAAAAATTGCTTTATATTTTCAAAGTCGTTGAATTATTGTTACATTTATACTATTTCCTAAACTTAAGCGCGGTTAAGTATGAATAAAAATACGATTGCTTTTATATTTTTGATATTAATGAAAATTTGTTAACAAAGTATGTATGAATTATGGAAATGTGTAGAATTCTGTGTATAAAGGCACAACAAAATAACTGGAGACATGTAATCGGAAGTTGTTACTATCTCCTAATATAATAACTTTACTTCAACATGTACAATGAAAAATACTTTTGCATTAAGCACAACTGTTTTTCGCTGACTCGTCATTTTTTTAAAGATTTTCTTCGTAATAATAAATTTTGGCAAAAATTACACACGCGTTCATTTATATAACTGCAACTGAAGTTTAAACAGCTCGAGCAAAATTTATAACAATTAACTACTGGACACTTTTCGTCATCCAGCATCAGTAAATTCTATATATTATTTACATGATTAAGTTCCTAAACAATAACGAAACTAACAAAATTGGAAGATCTAACAAATATGGCATCCAATGGCAAATCTATGGGCAGGCAATCCACGGCTTCGATCTTCAAACTTGGAATTCATTTTTACCTTTTTCCGCAGATTATACCCCTTCTGTGGATCGTGTATTATTGACAAAATATTTTTAAATTTTTGGATTTTTTCATATGTATTGGGAATAGTGGTAGACGGTAAATTTTCAATTTTACTCATAGAGAGTTCACTGCTTGAGTTTCTCAGATGAGCAATTTTGGAATCACGCACCAGCTACTGATTTACTTACTTAATGCATTCTCTGATGTATGGATCGGAAGATTGCAAAAGAAATCACAAAAGATGTATAGTCTAATCCCAGTATAGATGAAGGCAAGATTTGCCGCAATCCGATATCAATTTCAATCGTGTCAGTGTTATCGATATAATTGTGTGAAATGTGTGTATCGCAATCCCAATTCAGTGAATATCATACATTTTTAAGGTGTTGATATGGCTGATATATTATATAAATTTTAGAGGAAACATTTATGTTGTCATGCCTTCCATGCACAGAACTCTTTTTTTGTTTTGAGAAATCGTTTCTCTCAAATATTTTAGGGATCTTTCATTAAAACAATTACGTGCAAAACTTTCTTGTCTTTTCTGAATTTTTGTTTTTTCTTTTTGTTTGGTTTAATAATTCTGATGATAATTTGTAGTAAAAAGTGTGTTTTTTGTTGTTTTAAACATTACTTATTGGAAGACATTCTTTTTTATACAAGTTTAAGACACAGAAAATATACGATTCTTTCTTTTTTTATATATATTTGTTTTCCTTTTTTTGTTCTTAATGCAAATAACTGGATTTTATCTATATTTAGTTGTTGATGTTTAATATTATAAACACATATATATAATTATTTGTTTTTTTTACATAAATTTAATTTTGACTTTTGCTTCGTCTTTTTAGGTTAATTTTATAGCAGAGTCGGAAAGCAGAAGAACCTTAGTTTTAACTATAATCATAAGAAATTTATTGATAGTAAGAGAATATTTTAAAAGAGAAAAAATTAATTTAAAGTGTTATACAATTTAAAACCAAATTGCACATATCCTTTTCCTTGTATTCTAGGTTTGGCGTTGTATGTAAATTACTTTGTAAGAAAAAGATAAACGATTTGCAAACGATATTTTGTGATGTTTATTTTAATATTTATTAAAATTGTTTGCAATTTTCAATTGATTTTTTACTTGTGTTTGGAAAATAAAACTACTCTTCTTGGAACATTTTCTCCGCGTTCGATTTTTCATTGAATAATTACAAATAAAACATATTTTTTTGCTTATAATGCCAAACTAATTGTTTTATTTAAATTATTATAAGTTAATAGTGTTAAAAGTTATTCAAACATTTTAGCAGTAAGGACCTTCTGTAGATCATAGAATTTTTTTTGTAATAGTGAGAGTCTTTTGAGAGAAGCCACACCAATCCTTTGAGAAAATCTTACAAATAAAAAAATCAATTCGCTTGTAAGTGAATTATGCACAGATTAGGTTCGCGTTTGGCTCATCGCCTGAACGATTGACGTGAGAATGGTCCCGATTGATTAACAATACGTAAAAACGTAAATATAAACGCATAACAATTCATTTTGCGTGTAAACTTCATGTTAGATGATTTTTGATACTATCATTTTTTGTAAATTTTGTTTAAAACTTTCGTATAAATGCAATCGTAACACAATTTAGCAGAACTTGTACTTATTTTTATTATAACCGTTTATTTAACTTGCTTTCCTGGCAGCATGAACACGACCTTAGTTACGATGACAATGGAAGAGGCAGACCATCGTTTAGCAATCGCTTATATGTCAATTCAAATCACTTTGTCACAATAAAATGTGATTGATTCTTAGGCGATTTCATTCATAGAAGAAGCGATTATTCGAGAATTAGGATAAGTTAAACAACTTCATAGATCACTAGCGTTATCCTTTCGCCTTCTGATTGAGTGTGAAATAATAAAAAGCTCCTTACCAATCTTGCAGTCCTACAAAGATGCCTAAATCCCTTTGAATAGTAGTACATTTTTACCAAAAATAACCTCAATTGCAATCAAAAACTGTAATTCAAGAGTAAGTTCCTAAAAAACGTAGTCGCGGCAATCAAGGTTTCCTGGGAATAATTTAAATAACATCAGAAACTAAAAGAAGCGAAAAAATCATAAATACATAAAAATACAACGAAGCGTACATGAAATATCAACTATTTAGCCGTTAACTGTTGGCGCGTTAGTAAACCGATCAGGCCCATTATTCTGCCGACTATGCAAGTGGTCCTTACGAATCTCTACGTAACAACATTCGGAAATATTTCCTAAATATTGTATGTTCTAGCCGAACATTGTTGTTTTCAAGTTGCTTCCATTTATCGTCTGTACTAATCTTTCTGTGGATAGATTGATTTTTAAACCCACCACCGGAAAGTGGGGATGTACTCATTTTGTCATGTTCACAATGCCCAAAAAGAATCTTCAGAGTATATATATTCATGGTCAACATGAAATTCTAAATGGATGAAGCCATGTCTGTCCGTTTGCATGTTGTTGACACTCTCCAGATCGCAAAAATGAAGCAAAATTTTTTGGGGTTTTATTCATTACTCGCAAATTATGAAGGATAGGAGGTTAAAATTTTCTACATTTGTTTTACGGAAAACTATACTATTATTGGCAAAAAAAAAGTCGGCTATGCCCATACAAAGTTATAAATGATTGAATTTTCCTTTTTTCAGTTTTTTCGAGATTTTTTGTTAATTAACAATAAGTTAAACAAGACACAATCTTTAAAAGTATTTAGTATATGTATGTATGAAGATGATTAGATGATGCCTAAAAATGCGTTAATGCTAAAATAAATATGGTGGATACCACGACGTAGCAGGTTCGTTTTTCTTAACACTACTTTTAATATGGGTATCAAATAAGAGAGCTTGGAGTGTAGAATGTGAAGAGCAATAACGTTTAATGAACCAAAATGTGGAGGATAAATTTTATCTCATTTACTTTTTTGTAACCATAAATGAAAGCGTGGAGCTATGTTTTCATTGATGTTAAACATTAGCAAACTTTTAATTGAACCGCAATATGAGCAATAGATATTCTTGCAACCAATAAGTTTATGTTTCGCATAATTCACTTCTGCGGTAGGTTTACAGTTTTTTGGGAACGTTGCTTTCTCATTTCAAAGGTGGACTAGGCTGATTTATTTTCATTAAAAACTATCTTTAGTTCTTTTAAAAAATTGTTTGAAAACTGTAGAATAAGAATTCGTTCGTTGAAAAAAATATAATTCGGAAGTTTGGGAATGTAATTCTTTTTGGACCGGCTTAATGCTTAATTTGTCTAAGACTGGAGTGATAATTAAAATACGTAATATTTTTCAATAATTTCGAAATTGCTTCTTAGTTTATATCTATCATGTGTCAAAATTCAGAACGGGGGAAAACATTTTTCAATATATATAAATTTTTTATAGACATTTATAAAATTTTTTGTATTTTAAAAATTAAAAAAAAATCAAGTTTTGTTGATATGAATTCAATAAGTCTTCTTGTTTTTCTATGTTTCATCATTTTAGGATTTTATAATTGATAACATATTTTTTTTTCGTTTTTTGTTTCAGTATAATCTACATTTGTTTGTTATTGTATAGGTTTTTATCTCATCAATAAAATTAAAATGAATAAAAAACAACTAATGTGTTTTGTTTTTAAGTTTTTCGCAAATTTTGTGCGCGTTTCCAGTCAGTGCACTTACGACTTTATAACAAAATCTGATGGTTAATACATTCATTATAGGCATAGATATTTAGTAAAAATAACTGTCATTTAAATACTTTGGTTGAAATGAATTTCTTTTGTTACAGAATTATGTAAAATAATCGGTAGGAAATTTTAATATTATTTTCAATTTTTTGATCTTGTGTTATTATTAAATTGAGTAGTCAACACTATTTACATAAAAGTGATTTTTCTTTTATTTTATATTTCATAACAAGTGTGAGGAGAGATATTGAAAAAATCGTGAGGTATGGTTGCTTGGTGAAGGTTACTCGTGTACAAGTTGATGTTTAGGCAGTTGCCATGCTCATTGCCATTGAAGGCTTTTTCTTGCAAATACATTTGAATTGAATTCAACAATAAAACTAAGCACAATATTTAAAAATCGAAGGGACTGGATCACTTTCCTCTTTACAAAGAAATGAGAAATGTACCGTTTATCCAAGTACGCAACAAACTCTTAGTATCACAAATAGAATGATGAAAAGATAAATGAACAAATAAATTCTGTGTAGTGAAGTTGGCAGCTTAGCAAAACGTACATAACGCGTTCATATTTCTCGAAATTTCAGATATACACAACGTAGGCGCTTGTGCGGTAAAAGGTTCAGTTGTTTGCAAGTAATCCGTCAGTGTATATCAGAGAGTAGATAGACGTCAACAAGCAGCGTTTAAAGCACTCGATGTTTTTCTGTTTTAAAATGGGGAAAAATTCAGCTTAGGCTACGCCAAAAGTTAAGTTGGCTTCCAGCAAGCTATGAAACAGTTGGAAAGTGATTTGCGGGATTTCGTACAAAAAAATGTTAGCCTTGAAAAGAAGGAATGTTCTTGTGCTCCGTTTAAAAGAATTGAAAAGAAATCAAGGACTATGAAATTCTGGAACCCAGTGAAACTGTTACATCTGCAATATCTCAAACTTGAAGAGACAATTTTAATAAAAGTTAGGAACTTTCGCTCAAAGCGGTGAGAGTCGACGACTATTACGCCTCGAAACCGTGAAGTTCTTACCGTAAGGCCATCTACAAGTTACCCGATAAGTGGCAAAAAACTATAAATAATGCTGGTAAATATTTAGATTCGATTATTAAGATTTGCAATAAATATTTTTTGATTAGATTGAAGTTTATTCGAAAAATACACGTAAGTTTATTTATATCCCTAATAAGAATATCTTATTGTGGCGTGACATAAACAACAAACGTGACATAATATTTCCTGTTTTCGCAAAATGGTTCAATTCTCGTTCTTTGTGTTCGCTTGGGTTCACCAGAAACCAGTAAGGAATTTGTTCTTTATCTGGGAAGCAGTCGTCAATATAATTTAGTTACTTTTCGGTCTTAAAATGAAATATGTGTTAATATGAAATAAGAGTGGCATCCTCGCATGTATTTGTTAAAGTTTAGTCTGCTCATGATTGAGGTAATCTGGCCTGCAATTTTTCTGAATCATTTGGAAGCAAGGAACGCAAATATTCGGTTTATTTCAAACAAAACTTTGACAGCTTTTGCTTTTTATCTCTCTTCAAACATGTTGACTTTGCCTTAACTGTGTTATGTTTTTGTTTATTTATGTTTATTCATGATTCAACCGCTTGATAATCCGTCTGTTTCTCTTTCTTGTTTATTATTTGCGGATGTGATGTGTATGCGCTTTTGTATTAAACGATAAAATATGTATATACACACTTAATAGAAAACGCTTATTCCTTATTACATTTACAAATACATATACATACATACACTGACCTTGTATTAACAAATAATATTTACCAACAATTGAGTTTATGTTTAACTTTCTGTTCTTTTGTATTTAATTAATTTTCATGTTTTTTACTTACTCCACTTTCATAATTAAATTAAGACAGTTTTCGCCAATATCTATTCGATTTGGTAGTCGTTAGTAATAATTCTGTCTTGAAAATTTTTTCTACCTAAACCAAGCATAAGTATAAGCTAATTAAGAAGATCCGACCTGATCATCATCATCAATTTGCTAGTAATAAGTTTATTGCCTAGAAATGCACAGAAAAAAAATTAACAAAAATAATTTGTTGTTTTTTTAGTTTTGCTTTCGCTTTTGTTTCTTAAAGAAACGTAAAAAGGAAATCTCGTTTTCTATATAACGTAATTTAATTTAGGATTACTTTTTCAAATTTTTCGTTAACTAATCGTCTCAATAATCTATACTAACACTAACTAATTTTTCTCGCTTCGCTCTACTTGTTTTACTTTCCACTTTTTCTTTCTTTCCTTAAGCTATTATAAAATGGTTGCTTTTGGTAATAGGTACACTTAAATACTCGTTTTTTAATGGCTCATTATTGTTATTCTTTAGTTTTGTTGCAAATCAGAGTTGCCTTAAAAAATCTCTTGTATTTTATTTAACAAATTTCTTTTCGTTATTTATTTTTCAATACAATAAATTCTCATTGTTGTTGCACTTATCCAAAGTCTATGATCGTCAAAAGAAACGTAAATGAAACAAACAAAATAAAAAAAAAAAATTCCACACTCAGTCTCACATTTAATCAATCATTCATGGATTTACACTTCGTTAATCAATTACAATCATAAAACAGTTATGGTATTTGCTCGGAACGTATACACGATGCATACATACAATAATCCGCAATTTAACTTTCATTCAATCATTCATTCACTCATTCATTTTGTAATAACTATTGTTGTCAATATTATGTTTGCGTTGTTATCTATTGGTGTGTAATGTTACGAAGGAATTCCCATGAATGTATGTTAATTTGGGTGGTTATGCGTATGCACGTTACGAATTGTTTTTAAGTGATTCTCAATCATGGCCCTATTACTTTAATTTGCTTAGCATCACGCGTTTGTTAACAGAGTTGTAACTAAAATCATTACGACATGAATTAATAAGACTGATGAAGGATTCTGGAAAGGATGGGCACCTCGTCCACATTGCTGAATTTCGATTTCTTCCGGATGATAATTGATACATTTCTTGGGTCGTCTTCGCTTCTGCGTTTCTTGCGATTGACGGCGGGTGCTACAGGCTCCTGTAATACATAATAAAATTTAGAAAAGTATTTTTTACTTACGGAAATACTTTTAAATAAGTGTATATAATTAGAAGATTTTTTTGTTGAAAACATTTTGCATCCAAAGGAATCATTACGATTTTTGATTTACAGACGTATAAAGAATGAAATGAATGCATGGAATGTTATAAGAAAATACTAACGAATGTTATAAGATATTACTTACTACTATAAAGGAGCATTGATAGGTAAACCAACTAAAAACTTCAGAAAAAAAATTTTGGAAAACTCTAAAGTATCTTGCCAAACTTACCCACTATACCCAACTCCTCTATTGGGTCAATGTCTAATTGTTTGGAGCCGCAAGGGCATAACGTATCCACAACAAGAAGTATAAGGTTACTATGGGGTATTTTCTGAACACTAAATGGACGTTCACATCCTGACACATGGCAATTTGTTAACTTCCCCTAAAAATGTAGAAAATAAATAATATTAGGATATTTAAACTCTCCCATTTTTCCGTCTAAAAGGTTTGCTCACCTTTAGGGGATTATTTTGACCACCTTGGTTTAATCTTTCTGGCTGCAGCATATATAAGTCGGTACGTAAGTCGCAACGTCGGGCATTATGAGGATCAGGACTCATTCTAGGACCGACATACGGTTTATGTTGCTTTGGTGTTGGTGTTGTATATTCCTAAAAGAAGAATATAAAGTCAGGAATTAAGAATAATATAAAAATTGTTAAGTTCAGTAGCAAACTTACGACATCTGTCGTGGTGAAGAATTCTTCCAATTCATCGTCTGCCGGCGAATTATAGTCTTCTTCGAATGGCTCATAATCATCTGGATAGGTGGGTTCTTCAAAGTCTTCATTGTACGTGTAGTCATCTTGGGGCCACGCTCGCAATGGCAATGGCAATGGCAGCATACCTAACCAGGCTGCACTTACATGTACGACGTAGTTGTATAACCAAGATATGTCACGATAAGGCTTTATTATATCCCCAGTGGCTGCGTATGGATTATCGGCATTTGAACATATGCCCTGGTAATCGTTAACCGTTACACGTTTGTAGATACGGTCTTGCACCAAAGAATCCATTATGGTGCCGTCGATTTGACCAAAAAATTTGCCTGTGTGTTCGGGCTCTTCAGAGATAATCACAAAGCCACTATTATCCAAAACATAACAATCTAAATTATCAGAAGCACAAGAACGTTTGCAGCCGGTGTTGCCAGTGCACTAGGAAAAAACATGTCTAACTTGTATTTGCTTCTGTACATCTAGAGAAAAAAATGTTGGAAACTTACGGTCGAGGTTACATTTATAAAATGTTTAGCCAACGAATCATGTTGAAATTGTAAACCTACTACAGCCGCTGGAGCTTTATGACCGCGATGTTCGATGAATATAGCATGTGAGGCTGTAACTAAGGTGGAATTTGTCTTCGAATTATAGCCCGAACCGAACGGTACACTATATACGAAACTATCTTGTTCCACCGTATGCTGGTCAATTGCTCGCTTATACCATGACATATCTATAGCTCGAACATTCTCTTCGCTAAAATGTCTGCAAGCCATTAACACCATACTTAGTTAGGCTTTTAATTTTGGTAATTGCTAGGTGGACAATCTACTCACGGTTCTGGTGAGTCATCAGGCTTTTTGATGTGATCAATCCAACGCAGCAGACCTGAACGCGTGGCCACGAATGAAGTCGTTACAATAAACTTTTGATATCCTTGTCTAAAAGTTTTGGAAAATTTCGAGTTAGAATTTTAATTTATACGGAAATTTAAAATGCTGTTGTGTTAAAGTTGTACAATCATACTATTTTAGCACCAAACAATGACATGTAAGCCTTTCTTAGTAATCTGTTTTTCATTTTCCAATAAAGAGCATATTTTTTAGATCTAAAATAAATTGCTTTGCATTGAAGAGCAGTTTAGCCACAATATTGGATGGAATATACAGATAAAAGTCAGTATAGCTGAAATGTGGAAACTGCAATGTAATAATACCAACTAATTCACTCGTTTATATTCGAAATTCAACGGCAACAATATTTCGACATTTCTGGGTTCATGAAATTTTTACCCGCTTTTCACAATTGTTAGTTTTCTACGGACGAAGATGAACTCTCCATTAACAACATACTTTATTTCGGCACCAAGAGATTGGCACGTGTAGAGATTGGCAAGCAGAATATGGGAACTGAATTAAGTTTCTCTTCGCCAAAAACGAAATCGTGGTCTAGATGTCCCCAAAGCATTCAACTCTGTCTAGCATAATACTTTTTTCTCCAATTATGTTTGGTATTGATCAAAATTTCGGACCATATTGTTATAAAAGATTCATTAAGATTTTTTAACGACATATTTACTTCCAATAAATTTTCCTTAAATCCAATAATATCGCAAACCTCGGTTTTTCTCTTCTGGCTCTGCCTTTTCATTAATGAGCTCCTGTATGTTAAAACGAACCCAGTTTATTTACTCGCTGATAATAGTGCCAACTTGCATGCGAGAACTTCCAATGTGTTTGCAAATTCGAAGGGGTTAACCTAATTTTTGCGGCCAGGAGAATGTTTACAATGGACATTACACAAACGGACAAATAACCGGATACGCTTCTATCGATTCAGAATTTGATGGTGATCAAGAATATACATTTGTTGTGGGGTCTCTGATGTGGCCTTCTTCACTGCAAATGACCACCAACCTTCGGTGATTGGTATAAAAGAGACATCGAAATATCAGAAAAATGTTGAAATGATTGTATCCTTCCTGGAGCTTCACTGTGAGTTAAGTCGACTTTTGCAAACAAATAAAAGTACTTATGGCTTAATCGCTAGACATGTTGAATAATATATTAGTGTGTCACGAAACCACAAACTAAATTTAGGCGTTTCGACGTTATTTTATTTTAGCTTTTTTGGTGATATCACTTGATATTTTTTACATGACCGTACAACAAACAAAACGCGCTGGCGTTAAGTTTTAGTTTTCTTTTGGAAATCTTCCCAGCTTAATAATTAAGTAGTGGGTGACGTGAATTCCCTTTAAACCTAATGGATTAGTAACAAATTTGTCTTTTTCCGTTACGAACAGCCATTTCTGAGTTTTAAGATTTTTTATACTCGAATAGAGAGAGCAGAATTTTCACAAATTAGAATAAGGAACTTGGTTTAAACCGTAAGTTTTACAAATATTAAAGGGAGTTTCGTTTAATTTCAATTTCGACCAGTGTATTTCTTTCACTTAATTTTGTTATTACTATGAAAAAAGGAAACCTACCTTCCTAACCGTTTTAAAATTAAGTTTAATTCAAACATAAGCTCTTTCTAAGATGAATGTTACGCTCGTCTTTGGAGTTTAAATGTTTTACTCATCAAATACTTGCAAAATTAGTTTATTATTACAGAGAATATTCAGAAAAAAGTTGAATAATCTGTTACCTAAGTGCTCTATCGCCCAATTTTTAATTTCTTTCATTCGCCAGAGACAAAAAAAGTTATGATGATTTTCTAAGGAAATTTGCTTGAGCTTTACGCTCCAGCATTTATTTTCGGTTGCAGTTTCTTCATATTACTTAGTTTTCGGTAAAAAAAATGATCACCTATGGGACTACATATGAACTTCTTCCTTCATCAGAATCGTTAGACAATAGAAGCGTTACTTTTAGCAGACAGGATGTCATCGGGATAATTCGAAAGAATGCACTACTAGCAATGGGAAAACAGTTTCAATGTAATGACACGAGATACAATCTACCCAATCTGTTTTCGAAACAAAGCATTGCAATAAACTAGTTGTTGTTGTCTTCGTTAAGGCTCACGTTCGCTAGAAAATAGGTTAATGTTGTTATGAATTGGACAGTATAAAGGATCGTACGGTTGCAAAAGACATCTAGGATACTGTATGCCATGACCTCGTCTTGAATCAGTGTATTACATCGCCGCACGATTGACCTTGTTAGGGGGGAAAATGCAAATTTATGTACAAAAAAATCATGGTTCTGATATATTGCGAAAAAAAATATGAACCTAGGAATTTGCGTGATCACTAAAGAACCTGGCAAGATTGAAAAATAGAAGAGCTCATATAGACATTCATAGGTATGGGGGGCAAAGCAGCGATGAAACAATATTAACATCGCCGCTCACGAAACAGGTAGCTGGATTAGATAGTCGGGTAGTGCAGCACACTTTCTTTGAAAGATCAGGCCGCCTTGAGACAGACGGCGTGACTCTCCCTGCCTCTCCCCGCTCTTCGACAAGCTAGAGAATGCCAGGCATGACTTGTCCGCCAGGTTTGTGCGAAAATTTACCTCGGCTTTAAGTGATCCAAAAATACGCATGCCTATGTTCATTACAATACATACCCGAATGAAGGTGGCGTCAAAACCACCGCTTTTTCAGACTGGCCAGGCAGCCATAACGAGAATTAGTTTCCAAGAAGTACAAAAATTTGCAACTATAAAGTGACAAATTTACAACAAATCTTAAGTTGTCGAAGACAATGAAGACAAGCAATTTCCAATTGCTTCCGTTCAGCCAACTAATACCGAAATTATTTCGATATCAACGTCTTTGCATAAAAACTGCGGTTGCCAAGCCAGCCGCAAACAGATCAAACTTACGCTTCACATGATGACAACGAAATTCGCGTAATTCCGCTCATGTATAGAATCCAAAAGAATCGAATCCCTCCTTAAATGTGCAGTAATTTCAAACAAAGGCGACGACGAGTCACAGAAGTTTGGAGTAAATATATATATTCTTTTGTAGACTTACGATTACTTACTCATTATCAGTCCAGTTCACATTAGTAGAGCTTATAACTCTATTCTTATATTCTTATCTATAACTATTCTCCAAACATCCAATCCACAATGAAGGTTTCCGCAATTCTTGTTAAATGCAGATATGTCTAGTGGACTATCGCTTGTCATCAACCTGCTACATTCCTCATTTATTGGACTTTTTATGCATTACGGGACGTAAGTTCAAAAGAGGATTAGATTGACATCAAGTAGTGTACTGGCAATTTTGCAGCTAACGTGTTGAACTTATTTAGAATATCTACTAGATAGGCACTTTCACCTATTCATAGATTTCCGTTACTATTGTCTCTTACAGTTTATTTCCTCAAAATAAAATGTGCAGCTCCCACATCTTGCATTTTAAACTATATTTCTGTTTGTGCTACAATGTTGTTTTATTTTCGCAAATCGATATGTGATCCACATGTATAACATTTCTTTGTACACCGTCTTGCTTCCTTCTATATGGTAATGTTTAACTTTTACTAAACTTTTGATGGCAGCATTCACTTTACAATTTATTTAGAAATTGTTTAAGCTTTCTACACTTGGTTTCCTGTTAAAATCTTATATTTCATGCTTCATATCGCTTTATAGAAATTCTGTTACAAACTTCATCTCACATATAACAAGATAATGTTTACAGATATTGACAGTAGAAACATTGTTGAAAAATGCTATATTAATGGTGATAACGTTTCCTCGTAGCCGATTCCTTTTTTAAGACAGAATATGTCTCAAATCTATTAAGTTTTTCACTTGAATCTTTTGAGCACCATTCGAATGTTATTAATATCTTCCTTTCAGGCAGTTTGTATATATTCCAAAACCACGGTCGACAGACGCCTAATACTCTTTTTTCATTGCCTTTTTCCATAAATTTCTATGTGGGCCACTTAGACTCTGGTCGGTTTTTACGCCAATGTAAACATTGTAGCTCTAGCTAATTTTGCTAAAGCTAAATAATTATGTTGACAATTATGACGATTTAAGTGTACTTTGCAGATGTTTATTTGTGTATTGGGATTTTGTGCAAGGATTTTGTGGGCATTCTCTACTCTACACATTTTTGAACTTGTTAAATTTATTTGCAAATTAATATTTGACAAAAGAAAAAGATAAAAGAACTACGAAATGTAACAGGTATTGTGCTCCATTACATCAAGCTTAATATTTGCTTATGATGCTTCTGCCTTTAAGACCGAGTTTGTACTATTTTAGCATACCGTTGATGAGATCTCGCTTGGAAATAGTTCCAATTTCAAATAAAAATGATGGTAAGCACGTTTGATGATACGCGGTTTTCATCCATTGTAGAGTTGACCGCCGCCGCTGTTTCAAGACGATGATATTGCTTTCTCTTTAAGTATATGCGTTGACTCTCCAAACTCAAAAACCGATTGTGTTACAGTAGAAATTACAGTTGAGAATTAGCAAAACATAGTCTTGTTTACTCTTTCTGGTCAGAGCTTTTACTTTTTCTTCAACAATTTGCGTAAATATACCCATATTTTCGGCAACCATAACAAAATTTTACCTTTGCACAATTTTTGTAATTTTCCAACAAGTGGTACGCGTTGTGGTTTGAATGATTGAATCCCTTGGAGTAACTTCGTTTTACATAGTACTTTGTTAAATTAAATTCTTAGCTCTTGATGCCGATTACCATTAACTGGTAACTTTCCGGCAGGTCACACATCGTTGAAGTTCCAACCCAATCTCCGAGACTCTAGTTCCTACAGTGTACAATTTTATGACAGCTGTTCCACTGATTAACAAAGTTAGTTTAGGTGTTAAACTGAAATTAGGCTTTCTGTAAATTAACCAATATATGCAATAGTGTTCTTCGACAAATCGGTCTTTTTACCTTTCACAACATAGCATATACTTTTCTCTTGCAAAGCAGCCTGCACAGGAAATTTCTAGTGCAGTGTATTAACAACATTTTTATCAAACCCATCTTTCGAAAATCCTTTCTGGCTTTTTACTAATAGGCACAAAGCAAATCCAAATGCAACTAAATTGAATTAAATAATGCAATTTAAAATTCTACGCCAATACACTGATGATATATTGTTTGTCTGCTTTCCAAAATTATCTTCTTCACAGTTAACGAAAGGGGAGGGAATGTTCACTCGACACGGTTTTCTGGCAATCGCAACCATTTTTTTGCGAGATTTAACATAATTAATTATGAGGTTATGCAATTTGATTTTGTCAAATAGAGTGCGGATTGTAAATGGACACAAATGAAGCTATTGTTCACAATCTCATGGATTCATTTTTTGATGATTTATTATGTGCTGATTAATCTTCTTGGTTTTAACTAACTTGTTTCAATTTTACTTAACACTGTATTGTGGGAATACTAACTATAAAGCACATGATTGTAAAAATTACCTTTTCAATATTGCCAATAAAGTGGCAATAGGACTAGTTAATTAAATAGGTTTTAATATAACAATTATACATATTATATAATATTTAATGATTAGTAAGATATTTAAAAAGAAGAAGTAATAAAAACAAATTTAAAAATTGTGCGAATATTAAAAAAAAAGAATAGAAAAATTAAAGGTGAGGAAAATACAAAGAGAAAATAGGGTGCTTTATTATATAGTATACAAAACAACTTGTGCTGTTTTTTTAGAAAGAACGGTTAATGAAAGAAATCATATAAAAATCTTACTCCTAAGAGACACTTACTGCTTGTCTTCTTTACCGTTTGGAGAAACCGTTGAGTTGCGATCTAAGCCATCGGTAACCATTGCATCACGCACAAGACTTTGTATCAAGGTTCGATCGCAAAAATAAGGCTCAGCTTTACGAGAACCTTGTACATTTACATGTTGACCGAAATGACCCACAGGCGTTGCACTGTGTATATTGTGATGTGGCTGTGGTGGTTTCGGTCGTACCTTAAGTGAAGTATATATGATGTAAATTTGTAAGATGACCGATGAAACGGAGCTCTTACCGACATCCACTTCCAGCCGGGTCTTCCGGCTCGTGCCAAGAAATGCAACACCTGCTCTTCGGATGAACCGAAACTGGGTTCCTGATCCCGTGGTGTATACTCCCCTGAGTTTTCGCGCTCTTTTTCCAAATCGCTGACGCTGTTGTATTCACAGTACACCCAATCTGGATGTACTCGCCAATTGTCTCCCTTAAAATATTCCGTGACTGAAGGAAACAAATTAAAATGAATTTAATTGCGATGGAAAAGTCGTTAACAAACATACATACCATTTTTTCTGGAATGTCGTATCTCCTGTTGGGAAACAAGTTCATGGCTGCCATATTTTTCAGGGAGTACAACAGCAAGCGTAAAGGGCGTGTCCTCAATAGGACCGTAGAAGTATCTAAACAAACACAAACCACTTTAGTATAAGCTGGGATTTTCCTTATTCAACGTTTACCTCTGTGTTTTCGCATTTACTCTTTTCATATCATCAAAATGTTGCAAAATAGTAAACTCTGTTTCCCCCTCCTTAGGTATGATCATATCACTACGCATCTGCATGGAATAATAAACGTAAAGAAAAATATTGATATTATGATACTATATTTTTCTGCTTTCACCATAAACTCACGTCATATAATAGATTTTTATTCATTTCCACAATTTCATGATCGTTGCCAATTTCTGTTTCCGGCAGTTCCAACTCCGTTATATCGACCGAAGTATATTTAGGCCGCAGTTGATCAATATACTGATTACCATCATTTAGCGGACGTAAGTCGGGATGGTAGAGCACTCGACCATTGTTATCAACGATAAACGAATATCCATTCGGTCCTAGCTTGTGTTGTGGTATCATTTTTTGTATTTCCTCAACGGGTACGTCGGTGCCAACTACTCCTAATAAATTGGCTACACGAATCGAATGGTTCCGTCTATCGAAGACCGGAGTTGAAACTGTCGTTACCAAACGGCGTTGATATTCGGAATCACGTGCCAAGCCTCCTGATTTGCCGGCCGTAAAAACCGGACTCCAGTGAATCGGATGATCAGCTTGATACATAATCATTGGACGTGCCATTACTAAAGCGTAATCTATCACTTTACGTCGGGCATCGCTTATGTCATTGATCTGAACAAAAAAACCTTTATTGGAACAAGCCATTTCATGGAGGTTGTTACGACTTCCTGAATCTGATCCAATTAAATAAGTAAAAATTCTCACAGGCATATGAGGCCAATTGTACTGTTTTATAATCTCTTTGTGAGATTCTGAGGAACTTTCAGTGATTAACATAATAGCCTGATTGCATTGACTTCCCTCGCCTGACTGATTGTACTGAAAGAAGATATAAGATTTAAAATTTGCGGAAAAAAAAATTTCAAATCCTTATCAAACCTTATGCAACAAACTAAAGGCATACTCCAGACCAGCAGTAAAGTTAGCAGTATTTTCTAGTCTTACTGCCTTCACAGCCGACTTAATTTCGTGGACATTGTCCGGCGTAGCTCTGACCATACGATCCTTAAAACATGGTACTGGTGTTTTCACCATATCCGAAAAAGTAATTAAATTTACATAATCGTTTTCACCCAGGGTGTCGAGTATGTTAAACGCCGTCTCAAGCGCTAACACAAATGATTTTTCTGACATACTCGATGAAGAATCCAATAAAATCATCTGTAAATGGTAAGAACGTCTACAATAATTAATAAATTATGTTATTTATAACATTTAAATTACAATATCTTTCGGTGAAGAAGCTGCCTGAACAAACCAATTATGTGTTCGAAAGTCATGTATCTGTTTGCTGCCTTTTGAACCTTCTGGTGGCCAAGCTGTACCCGGAAATCGGCGCAAAAATCCCGTTGTTGAACCAAAATACTGCCACGACAATGCCGGATCTCGTTCCAAGTTGTTCTGAAATAACGGATCTAAATGTGAACTCCATTGCAAAGCTGCCTTAACGTCATCCTCGTTCAACGAGACACTAGTTGGAACAAGAATCGAACTTAGACTGAGATTAACGGGCAGTCGTTCGAAACGGCGCATGAATCGTATATCCATGTGACGAGCACCATCAGCTAGTTTGCCGTCAGCATTGTATTCATTGATACGGCGAGCATCGTAATGCTGGTTGCTTGCTGTAGCCGAATGCGAGCCTTGAGTTTCCAATTCGGAGAGAGCAGCTTGTTCGGCCGAATCCATAATTCGCTGCAAGCATAAGCGAATTATTGAGTTAAACTACAAAAAGTTCATACCGTTGAAATCTTATAGAGATCTTTTATATACACAATAATATATTCAAGTGAATCTATTTATATGCTATAAACTTTTATTGTCAAGTTAAACGTATATTTTTATTTCATGAATAAAAACAAACAGGAAAATTATGGGTGGTTACGGTCGATACTCCCATTATACTAAATAGACGTATGTATACGTGTGGATACATTTTATGAAAGGTGGGCGCAAGAGCAAATTAATTGAGCCTTGTACATAATGTACAGGAAAAGAAAATAACTTATGGTTTCTTTTTGTTTTATTGTTGTGCCGTTCTAACTGCAATCAACGCTGAACGGACTTGCACAATTGGCGCCGAGTTTTAAGGTGACCAAGAATATATAAGTCTTGTTGGCTTCAAAAAGTTACAATACAATGAAAAAATATAACGATTTGATTGAACTTACTTTTATATTTCGACTGTTTGTAAAATTCACCAATTTCATTACTCTCTCAACTAATCATCCGAAAAGTGGTAAAAATACTGTTCATCGTTTATTGAAAAACATTTACTTTTAAGGTTTGGTAACAAATGAAAATGAGAGCAAGCTAGGCCGAATAACATTTCGAACATTTCGTATATTAATTTTTTCAAGTTTGTCCTTGCCAAAAAACCATTGTGAGCTATTATATTATATATTAGTTTGGGGAAAAAGAAATCCATTATTTTTATATGAACTTCAGGACTTTATTTAACATGCTTCGGATTGTCCGATTTGGGTCAAATATGCACCGTTTTGTTGTATGATTTGTTGCCATTTTAAAGGTAACTTCAAAATGCCTCTCTCATAGAAGTCCTGCTCTCTATTTGCAAAAAACTCTATTAGTCGATTTTCACAATCCTCCCTAGATTCCGATTTTTTATCATTAAAGAAATTTTGCAATACAAGAAAAAGATGATAATCGCTTGATGCCAAGTCCGGACTGTATGGCGGATGCATTAAAACTTCCCAACCAAGCTCCCGTTTCTGGACAATCGCTATCTTCAAACGGTCCAGTTGTTGACAGTAGAGATCAGAATTTAGCGTTTGGCCATATGGAAGCAACTGGTAATAAAAAATCCCCTTCCAGTCACACCAAACGCATAGCAAAACCTTCCTGGCCGTTAGTCCTGGTTTGACCACCGTTTGAGGTGCTTCACCGCTCTTTGACCACGATCGTTTTCGCACAGGGTTATCGTATGTGATCCATTTCTCATCTCCAGTCACCATCCGTTTAAGAAATGGGTCTATCTCATTCCGTTTGGCCAAGGCTTCGCAGATGGAAAATCGATCCATCATGTTTTTTTTTGGTTAATTGGTGTGGCACCCAAACATCGAACTTCTTTTTGAATCCAGCTGTGTGTAAATGGTTTAAAACTGTTTTATTGTCGATTTTTAGCTCCTGGGTGATGGTACGACTGCTAACATGCCGGTCAACTTCAATCATTTCTCCGATTTTATCGACATTTTCGACGACCGGCCTACCTGTGCGAGGGGCATCTTTAACATCAAAAATTCCTGAACGGAATCTACGAAACCAAAATTGCGTATAATTGGCTGTTACAGTATCGGAACCATAAACACCATTCACAATTTTAGCCGCCTGGCTTGCATTTTCGCCTTTGTCAAAGAAAAACTGTAAAATGTACCGAATTTTCTCTTTGTTCACTTCCATTTTTAACACGCTGTAACTCACAACTGAATACACCAAACAAAAAACAGCAAAAGAATTTTTTTTACTGCGAAATGTACAGTATGTAAATGTGCAGTATCGGAAATTGTTTGATCGATACTTTACGAGAAATTTATCAGTGCAGCCATCTACTGAAAAAATAATGGATTTCTTTTTCCCCAAACTAATATATTATATACTATAAAGGATGCCTTTTTTTCTGCGAACTGGGGCTTTTCTCGTTATTATTTTTTTGATCCAGTTGGACGAAAAACTCAAGACTGTAACCTTCTTAATGTATTAGTAGTTCGCAGGTAATCGAGAAATAAATTTCTTCCCCATCGCACAAAATTGATGCTATGACGTCTTTAGAAGATTTTAACCACTTTGGGTGTTTAGGAGCCGAAGAATCCGGTTGAGTATTTCTCTGATCTATTCTATTCACCCAATTCGTTGGAGTTCCGTAAAAATGAGCGAACAATGAAGTGCTGTTTCCTTTTCACTTATCTTCTTATTACTTATATCTGAGATTCCACATAACGCAGTACGAATTCATTCAATCTGCGTTGATTCTACGTGTAATAACATCGTTGCTATGTTGTATAATTTGGTTTGTCTTAATTCTATGTTTACTTCAGCGCGGTTTGTACAGAATGCTTTTTCTGAATTGAATTACTTCAGAGTTTCCGTACCATGGACTCCGTATAATGCGATATGAATTAACCGACGATTTGGCTGTAACACCCTTTGGGCATCTCCACTTTTCTGTTAGAATACTTGTGCAACCGTATTCAAATGGAGTTACCTAATTTCAGCACCATTCCCTAATACTTTCACCTTATTCTTATAACTGTCGTTCTCAGCCAAAAATTTTTTATGTAGACATTGAAACATTCTACATTTGGGCAGTTTCATCATTAGAATAAAATCATTGTTGTTTTACTAAATTTTAGCAATTTCTGTACGCCGTGGGACTGAATATATCACAAGCTAATCTGAAGGTATAGGAAGAAAAGTATATTTAAAACAAAGTTTTAACTAAGCGCTTGAGACGATGTTCGTAATTTTCAATAAACAATTGAACACATGACCGTGACTACATTGATTCTATTCATACCGCCCAAGAACGTTGCGCCTCTGATATTTATTAACAATTTTTGAGGAACATTAAAAATTTAAGCATAAAAATTAATTTACATTAGCGTTAAGATGCATTATGTAAATAGATAGGTTTACATCTAGGATATATATATATATATATATCTCCTTCTGCCTTCCTCTTTTCTTTTCTTGTTAATGTATAGTCTTAGCAAGATAGGCGCGGTATCTTAAATGAGTGTGGGTGCGAATGCTTGTGCATATGTGGTGTTTGCACTACAGTGTCAACGGTGTTTACGACATGTTATTTGTTGACTTATGCGGCTGCTAAATTTGCAATTTTGTATTACATCTTCTTGCTTAGATTATGTTTTAAATTTCTATATATTACCCGGGTTACATTTATAAAATATATATACAGTACTGACTTGTTTTTACGACAACATTAAACAAAGGCAAATAAATACATATGCATACATGTGTGTGAAAGAACGAAATATGACGAAACTTTTCCATCTTATATCAAATGATCCTTTCTTAAAATCTTTATTGCACTCTTTAAAACATTTGCTGGATAAGAAGACAGGCAGACAGCCAGACTAATGGATTAATTACTAAACATTCAGTGAGTTAGACAACATTTCTGGTGTTCTTGAGTTGCTTTCTTTTTTTTTTTTTTGCTGCGCTCATTTGGGAAATAGTTGCTTGTTGTGCAAGTGTGCCTAGAAGTCTTTCCCTTTTTTTACGCATTACTGTAGGATGGATATACATCCATTTTGCCAAAGCGTGTGAACAACAAAGAAGAAAGGTTTAAAGGTCTTACAGAGTGTATATTTTTTTAACCGGCAGTAAATTCGGAATAAATCTTGGCATGTGCATCTGCGTACAAAAGATTCGTTCAAACACGAATATAATTTCTCACATGCTTTTTTTATATTCATCACCGAAAGATGAAGGGTATATCCGTTTTGTCAAAATCTTTGCTTGACCCAGAAGGATAGTTCAGGGTATGTGTCCTAGATCAGCATCAAATTATACACCGACTTAGGAATGTCTGTCTGACTAACGGCTTATCTGTTTGTCTACCTCTGGTAAACATACTCTTGGTAGCCAAATTCTTTTTTTAATCGGAGAGAAACATTTTTCTTACAGGCTGGTTGGGATTGAAATTGGGCCAAAACAATCACAGGATATGTCCACAGTACAATATAACCAGGCACCACCTACGTTTTAAATGTAGAAAAAAATGAGATTTATGTTTTATGAACTACATCAGATACAACCAGAAAAATCTTTGCTCAATATTATAGAGAAAGAAATTTACATCCTTCTATTAAAACATTTCCAGTATTCAGTCAGAAGCTTCAGAGGCCATATAAAGTCTACATGTTATGGATTAACATCAAATCTGAATCGTTCTAGATGTCTGTCAATCCATCAGCTCATCTCTCTGCTAATTACTGCGGTAAACGTACTCTTGGTCGAAAAAATGGAGATATCTGCTTCTGATACACGACGTAAATTTCCACCTTTTCCGTCATTCTAGAGTATGAGAGCAGACCTTTTTTCTTATTCCTGAGTCTTTTTTCGCATAACAGAGCTGGATGTAAAAATTTCGGTCGTAGCCAAATATAATTTTTTTACATGCTTTTTGTTTTGCAAGCATTTATATAAATTCGGTTGCATACATATGCAACAATATCTTCTGCAATAGGGAATGTAGTTGTTACACATCATAACATATCTTTTAGTTGTTTACTAATCAAATATGTAGATTTCTACAGTGACATTGGGGTCGTTATACATAGTTTTGTAGCCTTTTTCAGACCCAGCACTCGCAGCCGTTTTGTTTAACACTTTTCCTTAGAAAAAGGAAAGGGAAGTCTTGTCTTCCATTTTGTAATAACTTTCTTTGAATACTCAAAAGTAATTATGTCACAATGTTTGCAAGTGTGCAAGCTAGCATACATATATTTTTGTGCAAGTGATTGTTTTTCCTCAAAATCCATGCAATTTTCCTTTTTTTAGTTTTTATATATGTGGTTCCCGTTTTTCTTCACATCGGTTTTTATGCAATCCAGTTAGCGGCCGTTTTTGATAACACAATTTATGGTTTTCTAATTTTGAAGCCATTTATTCATCTGTTTTTGTTCATCTTGTCTTAGAAGATGGACTCATAT